CATGTGTCTTTTTATTAATCATGTGTCTTTTTATTAATCATGTGTCTTTTTATTAATCACATGTCTTTTTATTAATCACGTGTCTTTTTATTAATCATGTGTCTTTTTATTAATCACATGCCTTTTTATTAATCATGTGTCTTTTGATTAATCACGTGTCTTTTTATTAATCACTTGTCTTTTTATTAATCACGTGTCTTTTTATTAATCACATGCCTTTTTATTAATCATGTGTCTTTTTATTAATCATGTGTCATTTTATTAACCATGTGTCTTTTTATTAATCACGTGTCTTTTTATTAATCATGTGTCTTTTTATTAATAACATGTCTTTTTATTAATCATGTGTCTTTTTATTAATCATGTGTCTTTTTATTAACATGTGTCTTTTTATTAATCATGTGTCTTTTTATTAATCACGTCTTTTTATTAATCATGTGTCTTTTTATTAATCATGTGTCTTTTTATTAACCATGTGTCTTTTTATTAATCACATGTCTTTTTATTAATCACGTGTCTTTTTATTAATCACGTGTCTTTTTATTAATCATGTGTCTTTTTATTAATCACATGTCTTTTTATTAATCACATATCTTTTTATTAATCATGTGTCTTTTTATTAATCATGTGTCTTTTTATTAACCATGTGTCTTTTTATTAATCATGTGTCTTTTTATTAATCATGTGCCTCCTTTCATGACTATATTTATTAATCATGTGTCTTTTTATTAATCACGTGTCTTTTTATTAATCATGTGTCTTTTTATTAATCATGTGTCTTTTTATTAATCATGTGTCTTTTTATTAACCATGTGTCTTTTTATTAATCATGTGTCTTTTTATTAACCATGTGTCTTTTTATTAATCATGTGTCTTTTTATTAATCACGTGTCTTTTTATTAATCATGTGTCTTTTTATTAATCATGTGTCTTTTTATTAATCTTGTGTCTTTTTATTTATCATGTGTCTTTTTATTAATCATGTGTCTTTTTATTAATCACATGTCTTTTTATTATTCATGTATCTTTTTATTAACCATGTGTCTTTTTATTAACCATGTGTCTTTTTATTAATCATGTGTCTTTTTATTAATCATGTGTCTTTTTATTAATCATGTGTCTTTTTATTAACCATGTGTCTTTTTTATTAATCATGTGTCTTTTTATTAATCATGTGCCTTCTTTCATGATTATATTTATTAATCATGTGTCTTTTTATTAATCATGTGTCTTTTTATTAACCATGTGTCTTTTTTATTAATCATGTGTCTTTTTATTAATCATGTGCCTTCTTTCATGATTATATTTATTAATCATGTGTCTTTTTATTAATCATGTGTCTTTTTATTAACCATGTGTCTTTTTTATTAATCATGTGTCTTTTTATTAATCATGTGCCTTCTTTCATGATTATATTTATTAACCATGTGTCTTTTTATTACTCATGTGCCTTCTTTCATGATTATATTTATTAACCATGTGTCTTTTTATTAATCATGTGCCTTCTTTCATGATTATATTTATTAATCATGTGCCTTCTGTAGGGATGGCGCCATCTTATGGGCCTTCTCTGTCTGTACTCCCTTTTGTGTCTCATCAGTTATTCAGTTAATTTCACCCTTGTCTCGTTCCAGCTGTTTGTAATTATGTCATGTCCTGTCTGTGTATACAGTCTGTCTGTGAGTCCTGTCCTTTGTTGGTTCATCGTTGGGTCTTGTCTGTCTTGTCTAGTCTGATCCAGTCCTGACCCTATTTTGCAAGTTTGCTGCCATGTCAGCCTTTTGATTTTTTATTATTATTAAAGTATTCTATTTTGTATGTCTGCCTCCTGAGTCCTGCCTGTTCAACTGGGTTCACTCCTGTCCTGACCTGCCCGAAACCCTGGCAGTACGAACCGACCAAATCTGAACCCAGCAGGCAGGCTCGCTCAAACTCTGCTCACCTGTTTTTGCCCGAGCTTGTCCAGATGGAGGGAGCTGCGATCCGGTGCAGTGCTTTTTGGACTAAACCTGTCCTGGGACTGGGATACCACAGCCAGGTGGTTGAAGTTCTGCCTTCATCTCGCCTACTGCAGGAGGAGAGGCGAAGATCTCAGCTCCATAAGAACCACACAGCACCCAGGTCCAGTTCCTCCTACTCACCAGTCTGCTCTGGGTCGATGTCGAGGGAGGACACCGAGTCAGAGGACGAACTCTGGTTTGCCCCTGTACACCACCCACATCGACACCAGAAGGGAAAGAGAAGATGCAACTGGAACCAGTCCGCTGCTCTTCCACCCACATCACCTGCCTGTCCAGCTCCTCACACTCGGCCTGGCGAGGCTGAGTCTTTTGGTTCCGCCTCCTCCTGGTCCCAGCCTCCAGCCTGCTCTCCTCAGCCAGAACGATCACAAACCACTGCATCGACCTCTCCGCTCTAACCCTGTCAGAAAAACAAAGAGTCACTAATCTGGGAGTGATAATGGACCCTTCCCTGAAACTTAACAATCATGTAAACATGATTGTTAAATCATGCTTCTTCCAGCTGAGGCGGCTGTCTAAACTGAAGCCCATATTGTCCAAAAAGAACCTGGAGGCAGTAATACATGCATTCATTACATCTAGGCTTGATTACTGCAATTCACTCCTGTTTGGTATCAGTCAGACCTCCATTGCACGACTACAACTGGTCCAGAATGCAGCAGCCCGAGTTTTAACCAGTACAGGCAAAAGAGAGCACATTACACCAGTTTTGGCCTCACTGCACTGGTTACCAGTTCACTTTCGAATCTAGTTCAAAATACTCATGTATGTCTACAAATCACTGAACAGTGCCCCCCATCTCTCTGATCTGCTACAACCGTATGTCCCACCACGTTCCCTGAGGTCAGCAGACCAGTTGCTCCTCACAGTTCCAGGAACTCGTCTTAAGCTCAGAGGTGACAGGGCCTTCTCTGTAGCAGGACCAAGACTTTGGAACGAGTTACCTCTGCTTGTCAGACAGGCCCCCTCCCTCTCAGTTTTCAAGTCCCGTTTAAAAACTCACTACTATTCAGTAACTTTCAACACCAGATGATCTGTGTTTGATCCTGTATGCTCCACACTGGTTTGTCGTCATTATCTGCATCGTTTTATATCTATATTCTGATTTACCTCATTTTGTATTTTGCTTTGTGTGTTACCTGTTGTTCTGTCTGTACAGCACTTTGGTTGGCCTTGTAGCTGTTTTAAGTGCTCTATAAATAAAATGGTATGGTATGGTAACCTGCGAAACTGAGGAGATTTTCACAGGGGGAGGGGCAGTCATCCCCCCATTCGTCTAAGGAGCAGACGAAGGGGGGCCAACCCAAGGAGCATATTGAGCAATCGCTTCCTGCTCCTATTGAGGAAGATCAGATCTGTGAGCTTCCTCCACTAGACCAGGTGCTTCATCCTCTCATCAGAGATTCCATAATGATTCTCAGAATCACTTCCAGAGACAGAATTAGAGTTAGAAGACACCTGGTGGACCAGCTGATCTTCATGTCCCAGCCTGACCTGCTCAGCACATCAGTTCTTCAGGTTATCTTTAAATTTGCCTGGAAATTAAAAACTGAACTTAACCCTATTTTGGTCCCTGTGCACACTGACTCAACTGAAGAGTCTGGGAGTCTCTCGCGGGGGGGGAAGTACCCAAGCCCCCACTTACCTGTGGGATTAAAGGGCTCAGAGCCTGCAGGTCATCCAGAACCTGCAGCAGCCAGTCCACAGCCTGCGAAGGGATCCACACCTCAGCCTGTGGGTCCAACGTCTGCTGAGGGGTGCTTACCTCAGCCCGAGAGTCCTGTGTTCCCTGTTGGTCCTGCTGAAGAAGATCCCGGCCAGCCTGTGACCTCTGTACCTGACCTTCTCCGGCCCGTTGGACAGCCTCCACGCCATCCATCTGAATGTTGGTCCTGTACTGGATGGCCTCCCGGCCGCCCACCTGACCTGCTCTGAGCCAGTGGACGGTCTCCCGGCCGTCTGGACGTTTTGTGTTCCCTGCTTAGTTTTGTCCCCAGGCCTTGTCCTGTCAGTTTTGTTTTGGTCCTCGTGTGTCTTTGTTCGGGCCCACCACCCTTGCAGTTCCTCCCTCCGCCCGCCTTAGTTTTCGGTGGGTGGTGGTGTGTGTGTGTGTGTGTGTGTGTGTGTGGGGGGGGGGTTCTTGGGGACGCCAGGGGGCGTCCTTGAGGGGGGATACTGTAGGGATGTGCCTTCTTTCATGATATTTATGAATCACGTGCCTTCTTTCATGACTGTATTTCTTGCAGATCAGCAGCACATGTTCTATGTTCTCATCTTCTCCACAGAACTCATATTTTCCAGTGTTCATGAATAATGTCCAGTTCAAGCCTGTGTCCTAATCTGAGTCGTTTCAGTTTCCTTCTGTTTCTTTCAGCTCTCCTCATTTCTCCTGCTTTCTGTTGAATTCTGTAGAACCATCAACCTTTTCTTTCTTCTTCCCATTGCTTTTGCCATTTTTCCCTCATTCTCTGCTTTATTAAAAGATTTGAAGCTCTCGACCTTTGACCTCTCTAAGTGGCTTTAAGAATCTGTTGGACTCCTGGCAGGGACCAATGCAGACATGTTCCTGTTTTTAGTTTTCTACATTTGTCTCGGAATCTAGCAGTTTTTTTTTTGGTTTTGTTACCTTTTTCCTTTTAGCCATCCTATTTGTTAAAAAAAAAAAAAAAAAAAAAAAAAAAAAAACTGTAGTATGCTTTTTTATAACTGTTTATTGTTGTTGCTGTTGTCCATTGTTGTCATCTTTCTTTGTTGAAATCAGGTCTCTCTTGTAAATGAGTCCTCGAGGCTCAGTGGGATTTACCTGTATAAATAAAGGTTGATTGATTGATTTATGATGCTTTTTATTTCTTATTATTTTACATCTATTTCCACTGATATATTTTTGGTGGACTTGGTTTCAACTTTATCCACCGTTTCATTTCCTCTTATCCATGTGTGCGCTGGTATCCATACAAATGTAACAGTTAACCCCATCATCTTAACTCTGAATAATGTTTGTTGTATTTCTGTCAATATGTCTGATCTGCTTTCTGAACAACTGTTGTTTAAACTAATTTAGTTTAGACTCTGAGGTCTACACTCATCTCCAGGCCAGAGGTCACTCTTTCAGGGATGAAGATGTTCACATCCTGGACAGAGAGGAACGATGGTTTGAGAGAGGAGTAAAGGAGGCCATCTTTGTGAAAAGAAACCGTCCATCATTAAACAGGGGTGGAGCCTCCAGGTTCAACTGTCCCCCTCTTACAATGCTGTGATTGCTAGTATCACTCAGCCCTCTGTGAACAGTAAACAGCCATCAGGTGCTAATGATCCATTGTTAGGCTGATGGTCCTTCTTGACCATGTGATCAGCTGGTTCTGGTTGTCAGCAGCAAACTGGTTGATCTACTCTGAGAAGGTGCTATTTAAGAGACTGAGCTGAAAACAGCTCCTCAGACTGAGGAAGTCCTCAGGATGAGAGATGAAACGTTTCTACATTTTTTTGTTGTTTTGTTTTTTGATCGTCCAGAGGACCAGACTGAACTTTTTTAGACAATGAAGACATGTTCCTGTTTTTAGTTTTTCTGCATCACCTTATAATCTAGCTGTTTTTCCACTACTTTTTCCATCTGACTGTCCTTTTGGTTGCCATTTTATTTTAAATTGTAATAATAATAATAATTTAAATTAAATTTGTATGCCTCTTTTATGACTGTGTATTGTCGTTGTTGTCACTGTTTGTTAAAAACATCAGGTGTCTCTTGTAGATGAGGCTCAGTGGGACCAACCTGTACAAATAAAGGTTGAACGAATGGAGAAATAAAATAAAATCACTATTTAATTTACAGTTTTGTCAAAAAATATTATATACTTTTTTCCAGCTCTGAGAAACGTGTTAAATAAAAAGTAAACTGAATAAAATATATGTTTCTTTAGTCGGCAGTTTAATTTGAAAGGTCACTGGTTTTATTTTGAAAGGTGATGCCAGAACTGTCACGTGACGGATCTGGAAGCGAAAACATCAGAACCCGCTTCAGAAGAAACTAAACCACTGTTGTTTTTTGTTTACTATATATCTGTTGTTGTCTCCCAGTTGTTGTTTTACTCATAAACATTATATTTTCTCTTTTATTGTCCATGGTTTTAATCGTAAACACGTACCGATAGGTGACTTCCGGTTTGCGTGATTGGCTCAGAAATGAACCAATCAAAGCAGCAGCTCGTGATGACGTCACAGCCCCGCCCATCGACTCATGTGATCTCAGCAGGGTTCAGAGGGCAGCAGCTGGACAGGTGAGTTCTGACGGTTCTTTACAGAACCTGGACGGAGAGAGCGGACCAGAACGTGTCCGGGACTCAGTAGCGACTCGGGATGAGAGGAGGGAGTGTTGAAAAGCATTTGGTGGAGTTTGGAGTTGATTCAGAAAGATAGTCCAGTGAAAGGAGCTGGACAAGTGGCGGGTTGACTGAGCAGTGAGTGCAGCTCCACTTCCTCCACTTCCTCCACTTCAGGAGGAAGTGGAGGAAGTGGAGGAGAGGAAATGGATTGGGTGTTGGCGAATTCAGCTAAGCTGAAAAGAAAACGAAGACAAGCTAGAGACAGAAGCTGGTCTCAAGAAAGTGATGAAGGAGTTAACAAAAAGTCTCCCAGGGATGTCAATCAACTACACATGGAAGCAGCACAGGAAGAGGAATTAAAAGTGATCATAGCAGGAAGGACGATGCTCACACCCTGTTAAATAACAAAGGGTAGTGAGGAAAAATTAGGAGTGGTAAAATTAGCCAAAATATTAAATAACAGAAAAATTCTCATTCATGTTATCTCCAAAAAACAACTAGAGAAAATTCTGAAAATAACATCTTTCATGGGAGAAGATGTTAAAACATATATCCCAGGATCTAACATCAACCTGAGAGGGGTGAGAGTGCCATTAGATCTAAGTGTGGAGGAAATTAAACGAGATTAAAGGAGGGAGTGTGACGAGTGTAACCAGGATTAAAACAAAAAAAGAGGGAGTCATTTCAGAAACTGTGTCAGTCATAGTGCAATTTGAAAACACTGTGCCAGAGTGCGTGCAGCTGGGTTATATTAACTTTAGAGTAAGGGAATATGTTCCCAACCCGATCAGATGCTACGTTTGTCAAAGAATGGGACACGTAGCTAAAGAGTGCAGGGGTAAAATCAGCTGTGCCAGATGTGGAGGTCCCCATGAATACGACAAGTGTGACAAAGACTCCAAAGTGAAGTGCTGCAATTGCACAGGAGAACATAGTGCAGCATAATGGGGTTGTGTAGTTCAAAAGGAAGCAAGAGAAGCACTAAGAATTAAGACTACTGAAAGAATAACACATGCAGAAGCTCTAAAAAAGGTGAGGAAAACAGCCAATAAATATGAGAAAAGAAGGAAGTGTGCAGAGATACTCAGAAGTAAATAACGTTAGACTACATAACCAACCAACTGTGATTCCCTTGGAGCATCCAAAAGCTTGCACACACAAACGCAAACTAGATGATAAATCCATGATAGTGGAAAAAGATAAGTTTTTGGTGTTTATTTGTCATATCATAAATGTAACTATGCAACTGAAAAAGACAAGTGATAAAATAAAGATGGTTGTTGCAGCAGCAGCAACATTTTTGGATATGAAGGAAATACAGGCTGATCAGATTCATTCACTAAGTACTGTTGACACTATAGGAAACAGTGTAGGTAAAGGCTAGGATGGTCTTTCACATTTTACAGTGGAACGCTAGAAGTCTTATAGCCAATGGCCAAGAACTCAAAAAATATATTCATGAATTAAAAGCAACTCCAGACATTATTTGTATTCAAGAAACTTGTTTAAAACCCCATCTAGAGTTTAAGATTCAAGGATATCAATCAATAGGAAAAGATAGGTCTACAAATAGTAATGGAGGAGGGTGTGCTACCTTTATCAAATCAGGGAGAGCATTCAAAGAAATTTACAATAACATCGAACATGAATGTGTGATCATAGAAGTTTTCAATCTAAAACGAATTGGCAATATTAGGTTAATCAATTACTATAATCCATGTAAAACTATAGATTTGGACATGTTGTTTAAAGAAATAAGTGGAAGTAATATAACAAAAGAAATATGGTGCGGTGACTTCAACGCTCATAACAGCTTATGGGGTAGTAAGAATACAGACGGTAATGGTTACACTATAGAAGAATGGTTAGATGAAGATGCATTGATTTGTCTAAATAATGGTCAAGGGACGAGATTAGATATAAACACAGGTACAGAGTCTGGTATAGACTTAACTCTTGTGTCAGATTCTATTGCAAAATCATGTGAATGGAGAAACATCTTTAGGAAGTGATCATTTCACTATTAGTAACATCATAAATGACAAATGCTCAACTCAAATTGAATTTACAGATTATAGATGGAGTTTTAATAAAGCGAACTGGGAAAAATGTAAGTTTATTTGTGAGAACACATGCCACCTAATAGATCTTACTGGAAATATAGAAGAATGCAATACTGAGGTTAATGAGCACATTATACAAGCTGCAAATTCTAGTGTTCTGAAAGTAGTGTTAAAAAATAGGACTAAAATAGTACTGTGGTGGAATGAAGGATGTAGTATAGCAATTAAAAATAGAAATGTAGCGTTAAAAACATTAAGACAGAATATGAATACAAAAAATTTAATAGATTTCAAAAAGAAAAGAGCTATAGCTCGCAGGACTATAAAGGATGCAAAAAGGATAACATGGAGAAACTATTGTTCAGAAATAGGGTATAAAATAAATATTAATAAGGTATGGTTAATGATTAAAAAGATGAACGGCAAAAGAAATGAAGTGAAAATCCCGGTTCTAATTAAGAACAATGAAATAAAGGTTTCCAATAAAGACAAAGCTGACTTGTTAGGAGAAGCTTTAGCTAATCTAGGTAATGTAGACCATCTAGATCGATCTCACAGGCTGCAGAAAGACTTCAAACTAAAATCATGGTCCAATGTAGATCAAAAGAAAATAGAAACCTGGTCAACAGTAGATGAACCTTTAACTTTGAAGGAACTTAAATCGGCGATAAAAGACACTAAAAATTCAGCACCAGGGGACGATAATATTTGTTATATAATGATTAAAAACTTACCAGAATCGTCATTAAAGGTTTTATTGAAATTCTTTAATAAAATCTGGGATGAAGGAGTGATCCCAGTGAGCTGGAAGCAAGCCATAATTTTACCGTTTAACAAGCCAGGAAAGGATCCAACGAACCCAGATAACTATAGACCGATTGCATTAACTTCCCATATATGTAAACTGATGGAAGAAATCTTAGTAAACAGAATGGTATACTTTATAGAAAAGAGAGATATTATTAACACATGCCAAAGTGGATTCAGTACTGGAAGATCTACTATTGATGCATTAGTCAGAGTTTGTACTGACATGGAAAAAGCACTAAAAATGAAAGAGGTAATGATAATAATATTCTTAGATATTGAAAAGGCATATGATTCGATGTGGAGGGAAGGATTACTCATCAAACTGGAACAGATGGGAATAGAAGGGAGATTGTACAATTGGATTGCAAATTTCTTGAAAGACAGGTCTATTAGGGTTAAAATAGGAGGAGAAATATCTAGAGAGTACAATATAGAAAACGGTACTCCTCAAGGGAGTGTTATAAGCCCCATTCTGTTTAACCTAATGATTAATGATATGTTTAATAATATAAATAGGGGTATTAAGTATGCATTATATGCCGATGATGGTGCAATCTGGATGAGAGGAAGGAATGCTACACATATAATCAAATGTATGAATAAAGCAATGGAACAAATAGAAAAATGGTCGTATGAATGGGGCTTTAAACTCTCAGTGGACAAATCTAAGTATATAGTGACTACTAATAAAAAGAATATTCATATTGATCACTTATTATTGTATGGAAAACCAATGAAACAGGTGACTGCATTTAAATATCTAGGTGTCTGGTTAGATAATAAGTATACATGGCAGGAACATTTGAAACAGACTGAAACAAAATGTAAGAAAGTAATTAATTTACTTACAGCAATAGCTGGAAATAATTGGGGTGCTGAAAAATCTTCTCTACTGAAGCTATATAGAGCACTAATGAGATCTACAATTGATTATGGAAGTATAGTCTATGGAGCTGCAACAACAACTAAACTGAACAGTTTGGATAGACTACAATCCAGAGCCCTATGGATATGCATAGGAGCAATTAAAACCACTCCCATTAAAGCTATTCTGATAGAATCAGGTGAAACTCCATTGGAAATAAGAAGAATTAAATTGCCATTATCTTATTGGACTAAACTCAAAAGAAAGGATGAAACAAACCCAGCAGCAATGACTATCCAGGACTGTTGGGAATACAACACATTTCACAGAAGAGGATTCGGATGGAAAATAAACAAACTTGCTGAAACATATGGACTACAAAATATAGACTTTGCTCGGAGTAATCCGATAAGTATTACTCCACCCTGGCTGTTTCCTGAAAGTAATGTAGACATAAAATTGCTTGAATGGAAACGAGAATGTAACGGTACAGACATAGGAAGAAAATCTAGTAAATATATTAAAGAAACGTACTATAATTATCTACATGTATTTACTGATGGATCTAGAAACACAAAAGGAAGAGTGGAATAGGGGTCTACGTTCCAGAATTTGAAATAAGTATAGTCAAGAGAATTTCAGATCAATTATCAGTAATTTCAGATCAATTATCAGTATATACAGCAGAGATGATGGCGGTTATTTTTAGTTTACAATGGATTGAAGAAGTCAGACCTGATAGAATAGCAACTTTCACAGACTCAGTAGCAGTTTTAGACAGTATTCAAGCATATGGTGACAGTAGGAAGGATCTCACGTTATAAATTCAACATTCTTTGTTTAGATTGTATAGAGGAGGTATAGATGTGCAATTTTGTTGGGTTCCTGCACATGTAGGGGTAGAAGGAAATGAACGGGCAGACACGCTTGCCAAATCAGCGCTTACCAGAGAATCAGTAACTCATATTTCATATGGGAAAGGAGAGGGTGAGTCATGATTAAAAAACAAGGGATGGAGGACTGGCAAAGGAGTTGGGATGAAGATAGTAAAGGAAGAAGATACTACAGAACACAGAAATCAGTTACAATGCAGAATATCAGAGACAATCAAAGGAGAAATGACATAATCTTTATGAGATTAAGGGTGGGTCATACTTTTCTCAGTGACAACATGTACATGATGGGGAAAAGGACAGATAATAAATGTAAAGAATGTG